GATTTCTTGACTGCTGCCTCCATGGGTGTTGATTCTAGGTCCAAGTAAAATGAAATCCCTGACAACTTCAATCTTTTCTCCGCTTACCATGATGTTTATTATTGGTCCAGTTGTGAGAATTTTTGTTTTCTTTATGTTGATGTGTAATCCATACTGAATACTGTAGTCTTGATCTTCATCCATAAGTGCTTCAAGTCATCTTCATTTTCAGCAAGCATGGTTATGTCCTCTGCATATTGCAGGTTGTCAATGAGTCTTTTGCCAATCCTGATGCCATGTTCTTCAGGTAGTCTAGCTTCTTGGGTTATTTGCTCAGCATACAGATTGAATAACTATGTTGAAAGAATATAACCAGAACTCACACCGCTTCTGATTTAAAACCATATAGTGCCCTTTTGTTCTGTTCAAATGACAGCCTCTTGGTCGATGTACAGATTCCTCATGGATATAAATAAGGTTCTGGAATTCCCATTCTTCTCAGTGTTATCCATAATTTGCTGTGATTCACAGTCAAATGTCTTTGCATAGTCAACAAAACACAGGTAAACATATTTTTGGTATTCTTCGCTTTCAGTCAAGATCTATCTGACATCAGCAATGATATCCCTTGTTCCATATCTTCTTCTGAGTTTGGCTTGAATTTCTAAAAGTTCTTTGTCAATATACTGCTGCAACCATTTTTTGAATTATCTTCAGCAAAATTTTACCAGTGTGTGATATTGATATTTTTCAATAATTTCCACTTTCAGTTGGATCACATTTCTTTGGAATGAGTACAAATATCAATTTCTTCTAGTTAGTTGGCCAAATAGATGTCTTCCAGATTTCTTGGCAGAGACAAGTAAGCACCTCCAGTGTTGCATCCATTTGTTGAAACATCTCATTGCGTATTCCATTAATACCTGGAGCCTTGTTTCTCACCAACTCCTTAGGTGCAGTTTGGACTTTTTCTTTCAATACAGTAGGTTCCTGATTATATGCTATGCCCTGAAATAGTTCAACATGGACCAATTCTTTTTTGTACATTGACTGTATATATTCCTCCCATCTTCTTTTGATGCTTCCTGCATCATTCAGTATTTTACAAATAGAATCCTTCAATATTGAACTTTAGGCTTGATTTTTTTTCTTCAGTTCTTTCAGCTTGGGAAATGCTGAGTATGTTCTTCTCCTTTGGTTTTCTAACTCCAGGTCTTTGCATATTTCATTATAATACTTTACTTTATCTTCTTAAACTGCCCTTCAAAATCTACTGCAGCTCTTCTGTGTCATCGCTTCTTCCATTTGCTTTAGCTACTCTCCATTCCAGAGCAAGTTTCAGAGTCTCTGCTGACATCCATCTTGGTCTTTTCTTCCTTTCCTGTCTTCTTAATGACAATTTGCTTTCTTCATGTGTGATGTAATTAATGTCATCACACAACTTGTCTGTTTTCAATCTTTGATATTCGGTGTATCAAATCTATTCTTCAGATGGTCTCTAACTTCAGGTAGAATATAATCAAGGTCATATTTTAGCTCTCATGGACATGTTTAATTTTCTTCAGTCTCTACTTGAATTTGCATATGAGCAATTGATGGTCTGTTCCAGTCAGCTCCTGGCCTTATTTTGACTGAGGATATTGAGCTTTTCCATTGCCTCTTTCCACAGATATGGTCAATCTTATTCCTGTGTATTTCATCTGGTGAAGTCCACATATACAGCTGCCATTTATGTTGTTGAAAGTAATTTAAGTCATTGGTCTTGCAAAATTCTATCATGAGGTATCCAGTGTCATTTCTATCACCAATGCCATGTTTTCCAAATACTGATGATTCTTCCTTGCTTCCAACTTTTGCATTCCCATCACCAGTAATTGTCAATAAATCTTGATCACATGTTTGTTCAATTTCAGACTAGAAGTCGATAAAAATCTTCAATTACTTCATCTTTGGCTTTAGTGGTTGGTGCACAAATTTGAATAATACTAGTATTAACTGGTCTTTCTTGTAGGCATATGGATATTATCCTATCACTGACAACATTGTAGTTCAGGGTATATCTTGAAACATTCTTTGTGATGATGAATGAGTTGCCATTCCTCTTCATTTTATCATTCCCAGTGTTGTCGATCATATGATTATCTGATGCAAAATGACCAAAACTGGTCCATTCCAGCTCACTAATGTCTAGGATATCTATCAATCTTTATACTTTCCATTTAATTTTTGACAATTTCCAATTTTCTTAGATTCATACTTTGTACATTCCATGCTCTGATTATTAATGGATGTTTGCAGCTGTTTCTTCCCATTTTGAATCATGTCCCATAATTACATGAAGGTCTCAAAAGCTTTACTCCATCCATGTCATTAAGATCGACTCTACTTTGAGTTTTCCGATAACATATCAGTGTTTCACTGCTATTCATAAGGTTTTCTCTGATCAAATTTTTGAGAAGTGGATGGCCTCTTCCTTCTTCCAAGTCTTTCTTAGTGTGGAAGTTCCACTGAGGCCCATCCACCATGGTTGACCCTGCTGGTATTTGAAATACTGGTGACATAGCCCTGAACATTACAGCAACATGCAAGCCACCACAGTGTGACAAACTGACAGACAGATGGTGGAATAATGTATATTATTCAACCTTATATGTCTTGAAAAACAGAATAGATATATCCCTTTAAAATACATCATTGTGCTAGAAGTTACAGGGGCACATATGCAATAATCCCCAAAATACTTGACTGCTAACCAGAAGGCTGGCGGTTCATATCCACCAGCCACTCCTCGGAAGGAAGGTTGGGCTATCCTATTTCCGTAGTGATACTGCCTCGAAAACCCAAGGAGGGGTCGCTATGAGTCGGGGCCAACTCGACGGCAAATAACAACAACAACAACAATATTAAATTATTTTTATTATAAAATTTCTAATATTTTATATATTGAATTGCTACATGAGGAATACCTGCACATTATATACGTTCTATTGATATTCTTACTAAATAAGTATTTCCTAAGCACCCTCCCAAACTATTATTCTGTCTTTTGAGAAAGCTTCTGAAGTATAAGTAAATTCAGGTTCCTGCATCTTAGCCAAACCATGAATTAATAAATTGGCAGGATCAGAATCATGTTTAACAACCTCCCTTCAGTTCATACCTGCCAACTCTCTGCATAGACAGAGTTAGGAGATTTTGGCAATTCCTTGCATTTGGAGTTGGCTTATGCATTTTTTCACTTGAAAGGTCTTTCTCTGCCAAAATTTTCAATACATTTAATTCTCAAGTATTTCAGTTGATAAGAGTCTAAATTGTCATGAAAGTAACTTTTGTGAAGAAAAAAAAAAAAAAAAAAACAGTACCAAAGGAAAAAACCAAGAAAATTTCCTATTGGAAATATTCCTGGGCTTCATTTACCCCTTTTTTGTATATCTAGTTCATT